CTATTTCACCATTGTACTTGCGTCCCAGGCCCCAAAAGCGTAATTGTGATAAAATACTCCGGCTTAGTTGTATAACGACATGAAAGTTAGAAGAAATGGCAGTTTATATTCCCAAAAAGATAAGATGCAGACCCCAGCTGGGAAATGCCCCAAATGCTATTTTTAGGCTGTTGTCTTTGGTCCCAGGCCTGAAAAGCTTTAATTGTAAAAATACTGCCGCTAGTTGTGATAACAACATAAAATTTAAAAGAAATGGGCAGTTTGATATGCTTGAAAAGATAAGATGCAAACCCCAGCTGAGAAATGCCCCCAATTGCTATTTTTAGACTGTAGTACCTGGTCCCAGGCCCCAAAAGCTTTAATTGTAAAAATACTGCTGCTAGTTGTGATAACAACATGAAATTTAAAAGAAATGGGCAGTTTGATATGCTCGAGAAGATAGGAAGCAGACCCCATCTGAGAACTGCCCCTGTGTGCTATTTTTAGACCGCTGTCCTAAGTCCAAGTCGGCGGAAGTGGTTATCCTTATTACTTTGATGAACTCTTTTATTTTGGTTTTCGTAGGAAATTTACATAGGGAATTAAGAATCTTTTTTCGTTCTCCTGCAGAATATTGATAAAGGTTTTGTGCAGTCTAGCTTAAATAATTTAAAAAAGTATTCGAACAGAATTTTAGTGGAAGAAATCTGATTCCTTCCTTTTCAAACACAGTAAATGAACCGGATGTTGTAATGGTTTCATTCCATTTCCTTCAAAAGTTTACTTTCGTGATAGGATCTATTGTCTTGTTTAACAATAGCGATGGGGCCATCGAAATTGCAAACAATTCATATCCGATTTTTTTGAGAAATAAGACAATGATACGTGAAATGTCTAAGAAAATATTTCAACTGGTTAACCCCCATAGCGAGTTGACCAGACCTAGTTCAATGAGCAAAGAAATACTGGAGACAAATTGGGAAAGTTGTTTTTTTGCCAAGAAACGACATCAGAGGTACTAGAATGTCCAGCAAGGAAAGGCACTCACTCCGATAAAGGTTCAGGATACAAAAGCATTGCAGAACAGCTTAAAAGGTTTCAGGGCATTGGTGAGCTTCCTTCTTTCCTTGATACAAGGACAGGCTTAACAAGCAACGAGGTATTAGCTGGCAATCTTTTGCAAAATGAGGCAAAATTTCATAAGCGTTGCAAAAATAAATATAACGACTACCATTACCAAAGGGTATGTAGGAAAAAAAGAAAGAAACAGCTGAGGCTGAGATTATTGATTATCTTAGGGACATGGTAGAATCTTCCAAGAATATTTCCGTATTCAAGTTAAGCTGTATCAAAAAGCTCTTTTGCGATCGTCTTGTGGCGCATGGTGCTACTGCAGAAAGTGTAAAGAATGTGCACAGTACTCGTTTGAAGAATGACATCTTACATCACATCCCAGAGCTCGAGGAAGAAAAGCAAGGAAACAATGTTCTCCTAACACCCAAGGAAGAAACCGGTACCGCGATTTATCAGGCATGTCTAGAGAATGACCAGGATGATGGAATTTGCCTTTCTAAAGATGCCAATATCATTAGAAAACATGTATTTTCGCATAAGATTGAGGACCCTTCCCAATTTCTTGCATCTCAAAAAGCTTCAGTACCCCTATCTCTTGTCACTTTCATCAGTATGCTCATTAGCGGAACACGCATAACTGATTCATTACCTACATCAGCACATAAGGCTTCACTCATGCTGGTATCACAACTAGCAGCAGTATTATTAGGATAAACGCTCTTGGGGCCTGGGACCAAGTATCACAGTCTAAAAATAGCATTTGGGTGCATTTTTCAGCTGGGATCTGCATCCTATCTTTTCGAGCATATCAAACTGTCAATTTCTTCTAATTTTCATGCTGGTATCATAACTAGCAACAGTATTATTAGGAGAAACGCTTTTGAGGCCTGGGACCAAGTATCACAGTCTAAAAATAGAATTTGGGGGCATTTCTCAGCTGGGGTATGCATCCTATCTTTTTTAGCATACCAAACTGTCCCATTTCTTCTAATTTTCATGCTGGTATCACAACTAGCAGCAGTATTTTTACAAAAAACACTTTTGGGGCCTGGGAACAAGTACAACAGTCTAAAAATAGCATTTTGGGGCATTTCTCAGCTGGGGTCTGCATCCTATCTTGTTCAGCGCCCAAAACTACCCTTGTGGACGAAGTTTCATGCTGGTATGCGATTTTGCACAACATTTTGGTTATCAGCCCTGACTACTAAACTCGCAGAGGCAGTAGCCAAAACTGGCCCAGCGGAAATACGTCCTTGATGGAGGGTCTCTTTTGCAAGGTTTGGCATGGAAGCATGGAGACCGTTTCGCTAATCTGTGTTGCGTCACTAAAAGGTACAGAAAGACAGTTGTTGTCTTTGATGGTTACGACCTGGTCCATCTCCGAAAGATACGACACATCAAGAAGAACAGGGTTGTCCGCTGGAGTGGAAGTCATCTTCAAGGAAGATATGGTCCTTACTATTAAGTAGGAAATTTTTGTAGCTAACAAGGAAAACAAGCAACCTTTTATATATATGTTAGGCAAAAAGTTAGAAATGAAAGGGTGTGAAGTTGTCTACTCAGAGGGTAGTGCAGATTTCGCCATTGTAAATAAAGCAATAAGCGTATCAGCAGACATTGAAACTGTTGTTGTAGGTGAAGACACAGACCTGCTAATTCTTCCTCTTTATCACGTTAAACAGAATCGAAAATCCATCTATTTTTGTCCACAGCAAAAGAAAAATGCAAAGAAAAAAGTTAGTGTCTGGGGTATAAAGTTTTGTCAACCAGTTCTCGGTTCAGAGACATCGAGTCTATTTTATTTCTGCATGCATTTCAGGGGTGTGATACGACATCAAGTCTTTTGGTATAGACAAGGACCTGGCACTGAAATTGTTTACAAAAAGCACACATTTTCAAGAATGTGCAAATGTTTTCAATGAAGAATCCTCTACCACCAAAGAGCAGGTTTGTGTCGCAGGAGAAAAAGCATTAGTTGCCATATATAATGGAGAAGAGAGTACTTCACTAGACGACCTCCTACGACCTCCGCTATGTTTTCTTCACAAAGCCTGTTTCTGCAAAATTACAGATCAAACCCGAAGTACTACCACCGACATCAGCTGCAGCAAAATACCACAGCATGCGAGTATACTGGCAGGTGAAGAAATGTAAAGGCCATTCAATAGATCCTAACAAATGGGGATGGTAGGTCAAGGATGGTGCGATGCTTCCATGTCTCACAGATCTCCCTTTTGCACCTCAAGAGATGTTGAAGCTGATTTACTGTAAATGTAAGAAAAGGTGTACTAATATGAGATGTTCATGCGAGAAAAATGGTTTAGCCTGTATTACTGTAGAGAATATCTCTGCTTGTTAACGCAGGTTCAATGAATGATTAGAGTAAACTCTTAGAGAAAGACAATCTTTATTTTATGTTTTCTGAATTTTCTGCTCAACACAACTCAACGTACATCGTGAAAAATCTCTCTCTACGAATCCTTAGCGCTCGATTCAATTACTTTTATAGAAGCAAACAAGGAACTAAAATTTATCTTAGCCAATCACAATCAATTTTAACTACTACTCAAGCCAATAAAAATTAAGAAATTACAGCTTGTGGAGAATGCTGCGGAATTAGCTGCGAAAACCCGATGCGTTTGGATGATTCACCATCTAGTGATGAGGAATGAATAACCAGATACTTAAAACGCACGTTTGGCATTAGCAAGTTTGCATTAAAAAAGTTTCTAAACTACTTTCTAGTTCTTTGTAAGAAAATAATCATAACGGGAAATTCTGAGGTTATGACGTCATATTGACGTAATCAGCAGCCATTTTTAGTTTTTTTTCTGAATCGTTAAACTAAAATATAGGCTTTCGGCGTGCATATGGCAAATTCAAACGAAATTTGACAAACCCAATCCAAGTTCTATACAAATAGCGATTTTATATATGCACGCCGAAATTTTATATACAAGTACGAGGGAATTTGAAGCAATTATCATGGGGCGATATTGGGGGGTTCCACAGCTAGGATTTAATGGGGCTTTTTTCTGAACAAGGTTAAGCTGATGGACTTTCGATTGCAATTTAAAAACATTTTGTTGTAATTACTTCAGGGTCAAATTACAGTTTGACTGGTCATAACATATTAACCAAATACACTCTCTTTTTTATAAGAACAATTTTATAAGAACACGAGCCTCAAAACTGGTCAAAAGTTAAGAACAAATTAAGAACAAGCTAAGGCTGAGCTTCTGCAAAATGCAATTTTGAACAACGTTTTCTTTCAAAATCGAAGATTTTTAGCGATGTATGGGTGCTTTTTCGGAGAATATTCAAATTTGTTAGCAAATTAAGGCTGTCTCACTCACTTTGCTGGCAAATGAGGCCTGAGCACCTCCTTAGAGCGAAAAAGCTAGCAATAGCACTGCTTACACCCTCTTAATTTAAGAACAAATTAAGAACAATCCAGCCTCAGATTTCCGAAAAAATTAGAGAACAGTCAGCCCCTGAACTGAAATTTACTGGTTGTTATAAAAAAAGAGTGTAGTTATCTTCAAGATACATGTGCGTATGAAACAACCCGGCTAGTCCTTGCAACAAGCCAGGATTTTTAGCGTAAGTGGAGCCATATAACAATCTTAAGCATCTGGCCATGAATCTTGTAAAATTTCTTGACGTGAGCGTGGGCCCTTGTGAAAAATACCCCGCAATTACAAAAAAACTTTAAAAAATGCTCCGGATTTTGATTCGAGACGGGAAAACTCCTCAGTTATTGGGCTCTATTACTCAGGGACTTAATTCAAACCATCACTTGTATCATATTGGTTGCGATACCTATAAGTTTCCTACATACAACGAAAAAAGTATGATTCACTTATCAGCTACTTTTAGAACTAAAGGAATTTGACAAATTCAAGACGACCGGAACTGCGTCAGACTTTCAAAAGAGGAAGTGGCATTATTCAGGAGCCTACGCCTTCCTTGGATGTTTCTACTAATGCTAGTCAGGCATTTCATTTACCAATAAACGATGCTTGGAAGTTCTTAGTTGAAAGTAACGAGCTTTTAACAAAGCAGAATTATCAAGATGTTCAGATACAATCAGCTTTTAGGTGTCAACTGTGTTTCTTTTGTTGCTATGATGGCTGCCAACCTCGTATTTTTAGTTGCAGGTAAATATAGCCATTTTTTTCAAATGCCTTACATTTTTCTCTGTTTATGCCAGTAGATGTTTATGATAGAGCTTTTTTATTTTACATCAAGCATTCTTAATCTTCACAATGCTTTTGCTTTTGTTGATATTCATTTCATTAAATTTACGTTATCCTGCTTTTCTCAAATGGTCATGGCCTAAACGTAATTATCTACAACTTCAAATAAAAAATACCAAGACAAGCAAATTTTAAATTTGTTATTAGCGTTGTTTCAACATTTTAAGTGTAAACATTGTTCACAAATCAGGGCTGGCAAGTCTTGTTTTGGGGGTTCAATGGAATCATTACTGACGGACAATTTTCTGTAAATGTCAAATAGGCCCAAAAGTGACTACTGATACATATTTCAAATGAACAAGAACCAGCACTATAAAATGTCAATATTGGAGACCACGTCCCTGGTCTCTTTTCTCTTGTGGCCCCAATAAATATGTCGTTGGAGTAATACTAGTAAAATAATTTGCACAGAAGATGGTCTTACTTATGGCCAGGGTCTATGGCCAGGGTACATACCGTAAATCCTCGAATTGCCCTCCCCTCGAATTGCCCCCCCCCCCGACGAAAAAGCCCCACCCCAGAAATATTAATTGTCAATAAGCCCCCCTTCTACCCTAAGTCCACGGATTTGCCCCCCTCAATTTGCTGATTGTTCCCATCAGAGGTTTCCTTTGGTATTTTATTGAATTACCACAAAAATATATACTTTTGGCAATAATAATTAAATGTTAATAAAAAAATTCCTACTAAAATATAAGGTGTCTTTTAAAAATGTCTTCTTGAAGTCTACTCTAATTTCATAAGTCCCCCCCCCCCACTCGTATAAGCCCCCCTCGAATAACCCCTCATCGAAAAATATGAAAAATAAATAATTCGAGGATTTACGGTATATATTCCTGGGCAGCATAAAATTTTTACCTTCTATTCAATCATAGAAAAACACCATGCGTTTTATCAATGGCCTTGGAATTATTGACCATATAGAGAGCATTTGCCTTAATGAAGAACGGATTTTAAAAAAGTCTACCAATATCGCAATCAATTTAAATCAGACTTAGCAAGTGACAGGGAAAGGGGCGTAGCTAGCGGGGGTATAGGAGGTGTGTTACCCCAATTCTTCTTGAGTTGGTCGGTAAATCTTCAGTTGGTCCACAAGATCTTAAGTTGATCGGTAAAATTGCCTATCGGTATGTGAAATAGCACCTAAATTTTTCTATGTCTTAGTACGGTCCTCCGCTTCATCACTCCTATCTTCTATTTCCGCGATCGAATTTGGCTCTGCTCTGGTACCAGGTTAATGACCCTCCATCCCCAAGTCTGGAACTGGAATTTCAGGCTACGCCACTCGAAAGGAGCAAGATGCAACTGCCCCTGGATCTATTAAAATAAGTAGCCCTATGTAAACTTGGGGCACGCTGTCTATGAAAGTTATAATCTTTTTCAATTCCTTATTATTTCAATTTACAGCGGATCAACCTCGCATTCTCGGAAATGTCTTCTGCAGTCTACAAAAAACCCCTGTTGCAACAAACGGGCACATTTATCCGTATTACGTTCTCTTATCGCGATGCCAAGGTTCTGTTAGCTTGCAGCCACCAACAAGAATGAGGTGTGTTCCTATCAAAGAGGAGGCTATTAAATTCCAAGCAAGAGATCTTGAAAGGAACCAAAAAGTCATTTTTGAGTTGAAAAATCACACCCAGTGTGGAGGAGAATGTGTCGCGAAACCCTCAGACTGCCCACCGTTGGCAAAATTTGAGAACTGTCAGTGCATATGCCCGTCTAATTTACCAGAAAGTTCCATGAAATGTCCTGCAGGACGAAGGTATGTTTCTGTTTTTCCTATAGAGCGCGCATGATAATTCTATCAGAGATGCTAACGAGGACCCTAAGCAGGTTAGCGTATTGGATTTGTCACAGCCCATTTTTTCGTAGACAGGGATTTTGTTTTAGTCCATGCTCTGAAGAAATATCTGTTCTTTTAATGGTTATGGTTATCACCTGGATGAACCTTAATGAGATTGTAGTAAGAAGAAAACTTGAAACATTGAAAATCATGCGATCAGGTTTATCGAAGACTTATGCGATCAAAAATTAGATTTCGGGTTAGATTAAAAACATCATTGTCCATGAAAATTTCTGAAGTTTTCTTTTCTTTATGCTTTGAAGTGTTTCTCTTTTTTGATGCTGACTGGTATAGGCTGTTAAGAATTATGCTACCCTTGCAAATATTTTCAAAAAGCATCGATTACATTATCTCCTGCAGCACACGTGTTGTGCACTGTGGTATTGTTTCATAACAAGCGAACATCGAAAATGAAAGCAGTTAAGAATGTATGACTGGTTTTTTTCTAGCTGGAGCAAACAAGAATGTAAATGCAAATGCAACAATAGTAAGCAATATTGCGGCTCTAAAAGGTTTTTCGATGAAAAAACCTGCTCTTGTCAATGCAAAACGAAGAAGATTGACCGATGCTTTGAAAGGGGACTTTGGTTTGACCACGAAAAGTGCAAGTGTTCACGTCATTCAACAAGTACAGGTAAGGAGACGCTGACGTAGCAATTTCTTACCATGGGACTCAGTCCCTTGCCCATGGATCATTTGCAAGCTGTTCAAATACCTCCATAAATTTGACAAAGACTTTTTAGAAAAAGTTTTGGTCCGACAGATAAACGGAGCCTTATTCCAGAATACTTTGCTAATAGCATTTTGTCCTTTTTTCTTTTGAACCGAAGTTCAAAAGTTATTAACAGGCCTTGAAGTTGCAAATGTTATAAGTAAAAAAATCAAGATTGCAGAGGATCACGAGTTGAGGAACAGTTCAATGTAATTAAAGAATACTTGGAAGGCATTCAATGCCTTTGAACATTTAATTATGACACTCGAACTTTATTACAGGGATTTTTGTGGCCCAGTTACAGCCAGGTTTTGAAATTTGACATTCCTCTGAGTTTAGGAATATGGCCTAGTATTGAATCTCGTGTTCAAATAGCTTCTTCTTAGTGAAATAGCTTTGAATTCAGAAAGCAATAAAATAAAAGGGTATGTTTATTACAGTGAATCTCATGGTGAATCTACACTAAACTGTTTGTTTTCAAACGAATTGTTTTCAAATCAACAAGGCTAAGAACTTTTCACAAGGAAAAGCATGTTATTCTTATAGGTTTGAGTACTTGATGAAGCGACTGCGTTTTAGAATGCAGTTTATCGCGGTTATTTGTAAAAAATGTTTTGTTGTTTGTAGGTACACAGCCTGGAAGTATTGAAAAAGATGCCTTTTTTTGGATATGTCTGGCTGTGGCTGAGTTCATCATCCTCCTTGCTGCCTTTCAACTCTTCTTGTATTACAAGAATAAAGGCCTCATCTACACTCTACGAAATTATTGTCGAGGGAAAAAGGATTCATTTAATTTACGCGACAGAAGCACAGAAGGTAAGATTTAGTGCTATTAGATAAAGAACAAGGTAACTGCACTATATTCCCAGCCTCCAACTGAATATGAATTTTAATGAGCAAAAAAGTGTGACATCATGAATTAACGATTTCTAGATGTCCTTATTTGGACCACAACCTTAAAGAATACCATGAAATACCTCTATTAGTGCAAAAGCATTTAAAAATTGGACAATATATGCCTAATGAAAGAATTCAAGTTTGCTAACGGATAACTGTTATTTTGGCTCTGTTGTTAACGTTTAGGAAAGACCAAACTAAAGTGATGGGGAAAGAGCAGCTAATTTACAGGTGGGGGTAACTGCCCCTAGTATTTTGCTGGCATGCCACTGGTTGCATTTCCAAGTTACACCTTACATGCTTGAAATTTAAAAAATTCAGCAACGCTAACTATATTTTTCTTCTCTAGCAAAGAAAAATGTTGATGGTATTGATTCAAGGATTATTGACGAAGCCGATCAAGATGTTTACTTTCTACATTCAAGATACCAATCCGTTGATGAAAAACCACTGTAGCTACATTATCAAGAAGTCTGCACTTTTAACAATACTGTTAAACGTTGTACATTTTTATTTAATAGAATAAAATTCACGACAAATATTCTAACTTAATATTGTATAATACTAACTTATTTGTATATTATAAATTATAATGATAATAATGTATTAACGCAAAAATACTTTCACGGTTCACCTATCATATCAGCTACAAATGTCAGTATGTTATGCTTTTAATTAGATTTTATAACACGATAGTATTAAAGACATATTTATTTGTTATTTATTTATAGATTATTCATGAAGTTGATTTGTGTTGATTTTTTCCTGTCAAAGATACTTTGTGCTACTAAAAAAGAGCTAGATATAATCTAGCTTGCAGGACAATCGACGTACGACAAACATACTGGGCTTCTTCACTCCTGTCTTCTATTTCCTTGCTCGAATTTATTGCTGCTTTGGTAGTATCTGTGTTGCCTTCAAATGCGTATAACTATCTCTCTGTGCATTTGCATCAATGTTTCTGCATCCCTCATATAATGATATACAACTGCCATAAACACTTTAAGTTTACCTTGTTAAATAACTGGATACTTTTGTGATCTATCCTCTTGGAACCTAACTTCTAAGCAAACCCACTGTGCATAATTTGTATAAGTAACGGTTGCAAGGGGTCTTTATGCTCGAGGGTTTAAAGGGACCTAAAATAGAGAGAAACTAGTTAGAAAAAGGAGTTATCTTCAAAATTGGGAGAAGCATGATACCTTCAAAGTCAAGATATCTCTCCAATTATTTCAATACTGCCATTTTTCAATCGAATTTTCTTTTTTCTTTGGCATTGTTTGGCTTGAAGGTCCCTACCAGTTGGAGAAAAAGGATTCGTGAAAATTGGATTGATTGTTCTGGTTTGAGACAGGTTTAGAGTCCACAAATGGACCTAAAGGCAGGCCTGAACAAAAAATGTCCTAAAAACTTCTTGAAGCTTTTCTTTAACGTATTTATTGTGCAATTTATTTGGGCTTAAAAGCTAGGTGACTTACCTCAAGTCTCTTTGAAAAAGGGCGTTTCAAGGAGGTGTTTTAAAGCGAGGGAGCTTGATAGAGCTTTGACATTTGAATGCATTTCTCCATCTTCAAATTGAAGTATTATATACAGATATAGGGTTATAAAGAACTCGGACAGAGGATATGACAACGTCACACAGAGAGCACAGGGTTGAAAAAATTCAATTTTTTTCAAACTTTCCTAGGATGAAAAGTATGCTCATTTACTCTTGGCGTGTGCGTGCGTGATTCATAACTGCCAAAAAACACAAATAACAAGACTTAATAAACATCAACCACAGCAAGTGAAAATTGCCAACAATTAAAGCACGGTTATCTTTTCCAACTAAACATGGCGTGATAGCTCTGGTAATAACTTTAAATCTCCGTTGACTTATTTGTATATAAAACATTCGCTGGCAGTTGCTTGTTGGTCTGATCACACGATTTTAGAACATTTGAATTTTTCTTGGAACTAAAGATAAAGACATATCTGGGTCTAGCAAAGAAACTATTTGGGATTTGTGCTTTAAGACTCGATCAAGGTAAAAACTTTAGGCCTTAATATATCGTCATTATGTTCACCATAAAATAGTTATAATGCTTCTCAATTACGTTTGTACTTCTTCTACGGCTTGAATTGGCCAAATGTTTGGGATGTGCATTTGATGTATCAAAAAACCTAGCAACAATTCCAATCAAAGTAAAATTAGTTCATCTCTTACTGGCAACGATGTCATCTCTTTGTTGCAACGTGTTTCATCTTTTTGTTGCAACAGGCTTTATACCTTTGATGAAATGATTTAACAAACAATTGTCTTGATATGAGCTAGGGAAATATGGCAGTCTACGGTGAAACACGTGGGCGTATCGGATGCTAAATGGCCCAGGAGGCTGAGTATAAATCTTGCACGAATATTATTGCTTGAATACATAGAACTGCTCGAATAGGGCATGAATACACAAAATTTGCCAGATTAGGATGCTGCACTCCCCATCTCCTGTCTTTCCTACTCTCATAGTGAAAAACGAAAGAAATTGAAGTGCTACCCCAAAAAGCCCCGTCTTATTATCTTCGTTTCCAAAGCTCGAAGGAACTGAAGCGGAATTGAAGGTCAAATTGGAAATCTGGTACTTTCTTGAGGGAATAGGCTTATTGATGAATATGTTGGCATATGGAGAGATCTTTTCAATTTGTGGAAGTTACAAGTAGAAGTAGAAGTTTTTCATTTTCGTAAACAATGAAGAAAACCTGAGTAACCAGCAAAACATTTCGAGGTCAATGAATTTGAGGAATCTCATAGATAAACAGAATAATTTCAGCCAAAATGCCCTGATCATCCCCAACACACTAAATCTACTGACAATCTGCTCTTCCCATACCATAATCATTACAAGGATTCCCAGATTATATAGGCCTAACACATAGCTTATGGGTTAGGCCTATATATGGGTTATTCCCTAAAATAGCAAATTACTGATGCCCAATGCTACCTGAATATTTTGTGGTTTGACAAAAATGGATCGGTATTTGCATGCGGGGATGAAAGGCCTCTATGTTCAAACGAGGAATTGCGGGAAGGAAGGATAAGGAAAGACTGAAACCTCCTTACTTTTACATATAAGGAACTTGCCTGTTCTTAATTCTGCATGACATATACTGGAAGGTATTCTTACGACCTGAAAACGGAATGAAGGAAGTTTCGATGTTGCAAGATAATACCATCATTCTCTTTCAATTTTATTGTGTATCTTCAAGATTAAACCACCAACTAGGAAATGCTTTAGAACTTTACTGATAATTTACAATCTAAGGAAATCGAATTTTAACGGCAATTTTTTTACTTGCTATGTGAAACCATTTCCTTTCGCAACTGAAACTGTCCCATAAGCTAATTAGGACGATTAAAGACACAGTGGCGACGCCTAAACTTCCTTGCCCTAACAGATTGACCTTTTTCAGCCCAAATTTTCCAATTTTGGCCTTTTTCAGAGTAAAATTGCATGGAAAATTTGTTTTCGAACTACTACTTAAACTCGGCCTTTTGGCTCTTTTAAACATTATGAGTTCATTCCTTTGTTTTATATAAACTTTAGCACCTAAGTAACAAACAAATTATGAATTGAAAGAGCAATACTCCACAGTGTAATGGCCTAACGATTAACAAAGGAATTTTTTTGAAGGGAAAAGTTTCTCAGTTTCTTGCTGGAGCTTGGAAAGCTCATGCATGGAAATATATTCTCCACTTCGCCCTGCGTATTTTGGGGGAATTTTCAATCTGGCCTTTTTATGCGCATTTTGACCTAAGTTTGTCACCCATCTGGCCTTCTTTTGTAAATCTCATCTGGCAACCCTGGCCTTACTTCCAAAACCTAAAAAAGTACATGACATCGTTGCTTTGTGTTGAAAAGGATAATGAGAAAAATAAATTCTGATCGAAAACTTTAGACTTTAAAACTGATTTCTTTATAATTTTTAATTACCTTCTGTACCGTTGCTGCAGGATTCTTTTTTTCTAACACCTATATGTAAAAATAGATAGAAGGATGGTGGGCTACGCATATATTTTCGCCATGCTGTGTGGCTTTTCGACCTTTTTTATTTATTGCATTGACAAGACAACTCAAACAGGTCTGACAAACATCCCTTTGACTGCGGCCTGTTCGTAAACATGATTTTCAGGAACTGTTAATCCTTCGTCATCATTGCTAATGCACAAGGCTGTTTACTTATTGCATTCAAATCATCAACGACAAATTTTCGTTTATTTGATACACGTCCGAGAATTAGACCGAAGTATTTTAAATGTCAACGAAGCCGAGAATCGTGGTTTTCGTCTCCGTATCGTATTAGTTTTCGGAAATCGTCTCTCACTGAAAATATCAATAGATAAAGAAGAGATTTGTAGACGTGGGTGTGTCTAGCAATATTTGCACAATGATCAATCAAACAGTTGTACATTTTGTTATGAAAGAATTTGAAGAATTTCACAAAGATCTTTGATAACAACATTAGGAAGCTATAAAAGTGATACTCTGACAGTAGTGGGTCATTGACTGTACAATAATTGCTTTGGCTGGTCCATAGTACGACGAGTACGAACACACATCAATCTAGCACAGATCAGAACGTGGATCGTTGAATTTCTTTACAGAGGTATGTTTGAGGAAAATACAAATTTATTTCTGCTGAAAGTTTTATCAGTCAATATAGAAAAGTTCTTGATATAAATTTCTTGTTAGTGATATTATAGTTCTCGATGGTGCTTGTGCAAATAGCGCATGCAACTGTAAGTGGTAGGCCAAATTGATTTCAACCAAAACCATGTCAATGAAATAGCAATCTAATTATATAGAAATTAAAGAATAAAAGATAAGGAAATTTGGCCTAAACTATGACGACGTACAATACAAGCTGACATGTAGGTACTTAAATCACAGAGAGTACAGGAAGTAAGAATCAAACATTGAAACTACCAGTGAAATCAGAGAAAAACAAGACCATAGGCTGGAAGTTGGGCAGTGGACTCCGGGAAACTCAGCCCTCTTGTTAATGCAGAAAGAAGACCGAGTTTTGTTTTGTGCCAAACGCCAATTGTTGAGAGGCTGAGTTTTTCTCTCCTTTTTAGGCTTTACTTAATCCTCCTATGTCAATTAAAAATCTTATAAGTTTCTTTACGAAATTAAGTCTTTGCATAATCTCAAGTTTCCATCGTTCGGCAGTCCTACTGCATTGTTTGGATCAGTGTTCCTGCATTCGGTGTCTTGTGTTTCTAGGAACGTATGGCTGTTTTGAGAAAATACAAACGCTGCCGAAATCAAATTGTATCAGAACAGTTTCAGAGCACAATTAGGTTTCGCTTTATTCTTAGTAGGAAATAAAAATTGACACATGCTTTTCGGAAAAAAGCAAATATAGATAAAGAAAAATTTTTTAAGCAAGACAGTACAGTCTGTCATTGACCATCCACCAAATTGGAAACTGTATCATCCATCTATTCTCTGTCTCCGCCTGCCCCACCCTAATGATGTACCTCCAGTCATTAACTGAAAGAAAGACAGGTGACAGTAGGGCAGGGTAGCTGAAGTCGTGGTTTCTTTTCACGTCTCCTTGGTGATAACGGTGTTCCCCACAAGTCAATCTGTAATTGTTAAACACAAATAACTCGTTAGCTGACTTTTTGCGACAGTTTTACAGCAGAGGTGGCGCCAGAAATCTTCCGACAGAGAGGCTGGAGCTTCCGACAGGGGGGCCAAAATGACTAAAATAAGCAGTTTTCGTATGTTATTTTGTCAAATTTGCTCCGACAATAACCTAAAATTTCCTCCGATGGGGGGGGGGGCTAGATGCTGTAGCTTAGCCCTCCCCTGGCGCCACCACTGTTTTACAGTCGCAATTTGTTTTAGTGAAATCAACCACTAAGAACGTAGCTAATGTATCAAATATAAGACAAACAATAAATCCCATTTTTTAATGAAGTAGAAATAGTAAGATTTCGTAACATATAACTGTTTAGTTTGGATTATCAGTTTATCCACCATCTAAATAACGCAGTTATCTTGATTATATGTCCATCTTTTGTATTAGGATTTGATATACCCTCCCACCTGATTCCAAGTCTTTTTTCGGCTATGATTTCAATAAACGATTGTCAGTTTATGCGTGCTCCAGGCAACTTGTATACCAGGGCCTCCGACGAAGCATTTTTGCAAAACAATAGGGTTTTTTTCAAAATCTTTTGTTATGGGTGTTAAATTTTCCCTTGGCCCCCCACTTTTCAACCTTTGTCGGAGCCCATGTATATCATGCATTTGTGCTATACCACGCAAAATCAGTAGTTACTACATCAACATATTGTACTTGAAAAATGCACTTTTCATTATTCGAAACTATAATACGGAAGTTTTTACTATGACGCATCAATTTTAAATGGCATTCTTAGAATGTCGTTATTTTAGTTGCATTACAATACCTCTGCATCTGTAAACCCACTTTCTAAAAATTTTAACAGCCAATATGAGGAATTAACTGACACTCACTGTTACTCGGTTACACCCCTTTGGAAGCAATTCGATTGCTTTTATTGCTTCATTCAACATACTAGGGATTAAAATCATTTGCTGTTTTACCTCATGTTGATGTCCTGCAGAGCATTACAATTGTCTTCAGTGCTAGTACGGTTGACCTTGCGACCTTTCGTGAATACTTTCTGACGCGCTTCCGGTTATATTCCAGAGCACTATAAATCTGGCAACTCTTTTTCTTGGTCAGTTGAGTTTTAACGGTAACCGTTCTGTTTCACATAGGACACGAAGAAGACATTCAAGAAGTACTGTCAGAGGAGAATACCATAAAGATGGCTAATAAAGTTGCAGTGTCAGTCTCTGTGTGGTTGATGATTGCTGTGGCTTTCCAGACGGCCCTAACTGGTTTGTGAAATTCCACTTTACATTTATCACTGTTACCAACTTAATGTAAAAATCTTAGAATAAAAACAATTCTTTTCACCGAAACAATTTCTACGAATTCTTTGTAACCTTTCTCTATTTTATTCATGATAATTTCCTACAGTTGACAAGGGCATCTTAACCACAATTCTTTTTAGTTAATTTCTTTTGAATTCACGACTTTCTGTTATTCATGTTTTATTATTTTTGCGCAGATCAAAAAGTAAAGAGGCTACGAAATCTCCATTGTTCTCCAAGACCAACTGTTGTTGAAACCAAGCCGATGTTTTACCCCTATTTTGTCAGCCTCCATAGATGCAATGGCTCTATTGGAACCCGATCGCCTGCAATGATTCAATGTGTTCCAAGCAAAACTGAAAGTTTTAAAGTTACCTTGAGATTAGGATCTGTGGTGCGCGTGGTCACTATGCAAAACCACACGGAATGCAAAGCGGAATGTGCGCTGAAAAGAGAGGACTGTCCCTACCCTGGTGTCTACGACCCTTTCAATTGCAAGTGTGATTGCCCCCATTCGTCACCACCCAGCGATATGCAGCAATGTGGTCCATTTAAAAGGTACACTGTTTGATCAGAACTTAGCGGGTTATACTCTTTTTACAATAAAAAATGTTTTAAAACATGAAGGCCCGACTTACCAAAAAACAACTACGAATGAAGATGCCCAGCCTTGAAGAAAAGTAAAAAAAATTTTAGAAAATTTTCTTTGAAATGGTTCAAACGGAGTAGACTTAGCAGCTAATTCATTGTGAGAAAAGTCAATGCTGAAACAGGAACGAGATTAATAACAACCGAGCCTCAAATTAGTAAAGAAAATTAGAAGATCGTGCCTCGGCAAAAATTGTTCTTATAAAGAAGAGTGTATTATGTGAAAAATGTAGATATGACGTCATTTCAACTTATAACAGCTGCTGAGTATTACCATTATCGTGTTTTCTAAAAAACGTGTTATGTCCAACTTTGGCCCCATTTCGTGTTACCAAAATAGGTATAATGTTTACCAGGTAACGAGTAAAAACCTTTTTGCAATCAGTTTTTTTATAAAATTCTAAAAGTAACTTTATATTTCTATTTGCAGCTGGAGCAAGGTCAAATGCGGCTGCGTCTGCAATCGAGTGAAGAAGTGTCCTAAGAAGTACATTTTTGATGAAAGTTCGTGCTCGTGCAAATGCAACCCCAAACGAAAAATGAAGTGTGAGTCAATGGGAGGAACGTTCTACACTGCAAAATGCAAATGCAAAAATATACAACGCCAAACATCAGAAAATAAAGATCACGAAGGTATGTAAAGACAGACTCCATCCTTTTTTCAATATAGCTTTTATCGAAAGTGGGATGTTTTATTTCTTTGCACTAGCCAAAGGGCGTATAATCACAGGGGGATGTTTGCTACTGGCTGTTTTCAACAGACTGCAAACCCACCATTCAGCTTATGTTTCATCATTCAGTTAAAACGTGTTTTCTGGTTTATTTGCAGATTCGTTTATTGGAAGCACGACATTCTGGATATACGTCTTAATCGGAGAGTTTGTCTTCCTTCTTTTTTGCTTCGATCTGATTCTTTGTTGCAAGAAGATGGGCCTGATCTATAAACTGACCAGGGTTTGCCGTAGCGAAAAGACGATTGAAGCAGAGCCTGAGGATAACGAAGAAAGATCGCCCAAAGAAGTTAAAGGTACGTAAGCAACCCTTAGCTCAAAGGGTATTTTGTTCCGTATTTAAATATCTTTGCTGGTGACATTTAAGTTGGTGCCTGTTGCATTCGGGATATGATATATAAAGGGGGCTTGAAAACATTGAAAATTGAATTCACGTATTCTTAAGAAGCTTCCAAATATATGATCACTGAAGGCAAAAACCTATCCTTGCGCTCTAACGTCGCTGAAATACAAATAGTTCTAATTAATTTTTTAGCAGCCAGCCAGACAATTTTTGCCCTTGTCTAAACTACAGCCTCGATTGAATTTCATGCTTACATAACCATAAACTGCGTTCTTTTTTATTCATAACCGTAAACTGCCTTCTTTTTTTATTCATGGAAAATTAATGTAGTATCATTTTTCTCTCCAGTCCAATTCAACGAAGGCTGCCATACTTCATTTTCCAGTTTACACAATATTCCAGAGTCAATGCAGCCCTCGCATTATGGTGAAATAAGACAATTTTGATGTGGGAACACGCTAATAATTACATTGAATTTTGTATAGAAGATGAAGATTTATCAAATCAAAGAACATTATTTATTTATTTAAATATTATGAACTTAATAACTGACAACGGTGTCTCAAAACCCGCTTTGTTTAAACTGACCTCAACCAACGCATTGTGGTGTTTGGTCTCTCTTCCCAGTGGCGTAACGGAGTCATCTTGACCCCTAAAGAAATACTGAGACGTGGGGCCCCTAGAGCATGTCAAAGACAACAGCAAGATTTAAAAATAGAAAATTTTCTCGTTAACTAGGGTTATAGGGCCAGATATTAAAAGCTTGAGTTTAAGAATTTAGTTTTTAAAAATAAGGTGAAGTTGATTGAAGTCTTAAAAACATGGATATAAAAGTAATCTGAGGGCCCCTTTTGGTTTGGGGGGGGGTCTTAGCTATCGAACCAGAACTTCGTCACGCCACACTTTTCTGCCGTCTGTTCCCCACACAGCAGAAAATGCAATAATTTTATACAAATCTTATGGATAGAAAGGTTTTATGTAAATATCAGAAAATAAATGTTTTATATATATTTATAAGAATTCTTATGCAACAATGCACATTATGAAATAACACATGAACAACGCCATATTTTTACTTAAATTATTTGCAGTTTAAATGCACAGCATTCTGATTCTGTTCGCAGTTTATCTATTTGAATTTTATCTCTACTGTACTTGTCTTTCTTTGTTTAAATCCTGGAGCCGTATAGGCGTTCAGTTTTGCCTTAGCCTGGTGGGAAGGGGCAAAAATCGTCATAATCTGGTTAGATAGAAAGAGTAAAAAATTTCACTATTATAAAAAATACAAATAAAAAGACAGTTCATAATTTGATAAGACAGCTGAAATAACAGGCTTGGTTTGAAAACAAATTGTCATGTAATTTCGTAGAAATAGCTCTTCGAAGTACCTTTTCCTCTTGGTAAAGTGTCATTTCAAATAGGCTAGTTCAAAATGTCGGAGCCTCTTGCCCCCTTTACTCTACTACGCCTGTCCTTAGACTTGGGGGTATACTTTTTTTTGAGCAGGCCGTTTCGAGATCGTATTTTCGACGTTGAAAGTTTATGCCTCTCTTTTACAACTCTTTTGCAGTGAGTGCAGGTGGCAGTAAACCTACAGATTTCTGAGATGAAGCCCAAAATTTCCATGAAGCTTCAAGCTCTTGAGCGTCTTAAAGCTTCATATAATTGTGCGTGCTAGTCAATAATCAGTCAATAACCAGGTTCAACATATCATGAAACTGAGACCCATAATTTCACGAAATCAAACAACAGACTGAAAAGAGACAGTGATATTCGCGACTTCAGAACTCGCAAGAACCTTCTAACAACAAATTCTATAGCGTATATGCACGAGCGTCATCACAATCCCTGCTCCCTCCCACCCCCCACTCCATGGGACGCAGACGCCTAGTGGGCACAGGCGCGTTGTACATAAAATTTTGTACCTTTTTCTGCCTGCGCAGGATTATTGCAAGGGGGCGTATGATAAGGCTGTGAGGCCTCTGCGCATATGCTACAATAGATCGTGTAATTTCAGCAGCATTACAATTTCTATTTGGTTAACTAATGTAACCTCCAGTGCTTGATTCGATCATTCCATTTATGGAAATTTTCATTCAAAAGCAAGGACTGGGTTTGTTGTATTTACTACTACTCTAGAAACCAACCTACTCAAAGCGCGGTCTCATTGAATCTTAAGCGTTATTCAATTTCAAAGGGTGAGGTGAGGTTATTGATATAATAATGTGGGTAGTAACGAAAATCCCACCAAAGAAGGACAAATACATGCATACATACATACATACATACAGATTTATTTTATAAGGAGGTTGAAGTACTGGCAGCTATGTAAGCTGATGTGGACCTCCTGTTTAAAGAAATACAGATAATATTTAATACTCAAGTAAAGACATTTAACCTATTTCCATTGTTTCTATTAAAGGTACAATATATAAAATCAGAATCTTTCTTTAAAAACTATCCCATTCCTTTAGTAAATGAAATGGTATATGCTTCTTATCAATATTTTCATCAATGAAAGTTCGTTTGGAAGTTGACGACATGCCCTGGTTTCCGGAAGGACCACTGATCGGGGAAGGACAGGTTATTGAGAGGGGGAACGGAGGACTTACCCGGGGGACCATCACAACAACTGAACCTCTGATTTTTTTGCTCAAGACAAAGAATTTCGTATATACATAGAAGCCGCATTGGATCGATTTCACCTTTGAAACAGGCTTGGTTATCCGTAAGACCCGTAAGATAGTGATGCCTGAAAAGAGAAAGCTATGCAAAAATCATGTATCTGAAGTTGGTTCTTGTTCTGTTGTTTGTCTTTATTCATCTCATAGTTTATTCTTATCTGCTATTGATTTCTGTTAGCAGTTTTTCATAAATCCAAGATAGTGTAGCTCGCTGGAGGTCCTTTTAACAATGACGATACAACAGACGTGATGAGGCATTAGTTAACTAAAGCAGGGCCTCCGACGAAGGGGGGGGGGGGGGGGGGGGGGGGCCCTGGCCCCTCTACCTTTTTGCAAAACAATAGAGCTTTTTAAAAATTCTTATGTTTTGATTGTTAAAATCTCCCTTGCCCCCCCCCCCCACTTTCCAACTTGCTTCGGAGCGCATGTACAGTTCTAATAAATGGAAAAGAGGGGCGTGTCTAAACTTTTAACTCAAAGACCAAACTTTGTCAGATAAACAAACAAACATGCGTATGATCCAACGTGACGCAAGCAAGAAATGATGCTGAGGGACATCCGTACATCAAGACAATAAAGAAAGTTTTCGAAAGTGAAAGCAGGACGGAAGATTAGACCCCAGTGAAGGTGATTTTAATCTCCTCTTTAAATGCCCAGAGTCGACTGCTTGTTTTAGGAAGATTTTCAGCGTAGAACGCAGAATCTCATTTTCTAGTATTTCTAGTTATGTTGAAAAAAGATCATGTTTGCAGAAAACATAATAAACCTTGCACATGCGTTAACTTGAGCATTTGAAGTCTCAAAGACTTCGTATTAAAAACGTCAGATTCATGCTGGTTTTACTGCCGGGAGTTTTGTTTAGGCAACGTAGTGGTAAACTTGATACATAGAATGTTTTAAAGTGGCTTTAGCATAATAAAATCTAGTCTTTCTAGTACGAGAAACTTTTTTAGAGTTATAACTGTTGATATTAGAGCATTGAAAGTTGTAGACTGACTGAATTTAGAGTTTGAATTTCTCATTTCTTAATATTTATTTAAGCGGTGTATCACTTGTTTAATAATTTCTTCTCGAAATTAAACGGATTTATGTCAAAGACTTACGAGATTTTGTTTTGAAAATCTGTGCCCTCGTACTTGAATACTTTCGTTGATTATTAGGTACCTTAGGGCTTGCTAAGGATTGAATTTTAATTACGACACAAAAGATAAAGGATTTCAAAGTTTTCATTCACAATCACCTTTATAAACATCGAGATTATGGTAAATATTAACGTGTCATAATCGTTGCACACGTGCAAGTTCATTGAGGGTGCAATTAAGATTGGTTATTTAGTTTCATGAGATACCATGGATTTTTTTGCATCTTCTGCTGAAATGTGCAAATATTTACTGAAACGCCATCAAATTCAGGAAAAAGTTGTATACAAGTGTAATGCTATTTAGAATTAATTTGAAAATCCAATTCAGAATAGATAATGTTGACGCCAAATTTCATTTGAAGGTAAAATTTTTCAATTTGGCTTCGTCAAATGTTTGGTGTTGTTTGCAATTGATTTCTCACTTCAGCAATAAATTCGCAAAGGACTGTTTGTATTACACTCCAATGTTATTTGATGTCGGTGATATCAATGTACAATGGGTAACAGAACAGTCATATATAAACTGCTTTTAGTTTCAATAATCTTTTAGTATATCCAGGTAAAGGGTTAGCAAGGCAGGGAGTCCAACATTGACCGATAGCTCAAGATGAAGCCATTATTTTGCCTCGTATCCATCCTCGTCTTAGCTGCTTCTTGCACGGCAAAAACATTGAAAGGTAAGTTTAAATGTCATAAAATCGAATTTGTTTATAATATTTTTAAGATGTAATCAGAGAAGTCAGAGGCGTTTTTGTTCAAAAGAATCGATTTCTTTCAGAAGGCTCCCCCTGAGTGTTCTTTTCAATCTTGAACATCTAACTGAATCTAGAGAAATCTAAAGAAGAATTGATCAGGGGAATGGCGTTCCAGATCTCTCCCTTGGGCTCTTAATGAATCTTAAAAAAGAGTTCAAAGCCAAAGCCAAAATATCCGTTAAGGATTTTGTTAACTAGGAGGGAAAGGAAGGCAAAAGACGCAAGGAAAGAGAGAGAGGAATGACTGGATTGTGATTGGGTCGCTTGAATGATGAAACGGATATGTTTCGAAGAATGTGGAGTGTGCAAAGCACGATGAATAAGAGAAGGGAAAAGGCTTGCCAGCAGGACGGGTGGATTTGATCTGGAATGGCAGCAGTCCAGAAAGCTGGCCGGGAACAGAAACCATGGGAAGTATGACCAAATCCTGCAAGTTAAATCTCCGGGTTATTTGAAGTCCTTCCCTTTACTTTACTATGGTTGCCTAAAGCATGTTCAAAAGTTTTATATAGACTTTGTTAGACTTTCAGACCTCAGAAGTGTAATCACTTCCCATTTATACCATATCTATAATAAGCTAGCTATATGGTCTCGTAAATGCCCGGATATAAGGGCAATTTCAAGACTTTAGATTCAATTAACTTTTAAGTTTAGCCCCAGTGATTTACTGTGTTTATATATGTTCCGTTACAGAGAAAAGACAATCGTACGTGGAAACTTTGCCACCTGGAGTAGTAACACCACCACCAGGTATATAGAAATGCAGCTTGTATACATTAATTCCACTAGCTATGCTCGGCAAATTGAATATTTAAAAGCCATAATTATGAAATGTGATTTATCGACACAAGATCATGTGCTCATTGACGAGCTTCTAAGAAATGAGAAGAAAATTGAAGCAGATATTGAAATTCACGTTGGATACACCCTCCTCGACTACTTCCTTCGAATATTTACAATTAGAAGAACCAATCTAGCCGCACATGTTCAAACAGCGTCTTTTTCGCTAAACCTTAGGAAAGCTATGTAAAAATATATCAAAGACTGTCAGAAATTCTCAAATAATAGTACCAAGATCTGAGAAAAAAAGAGCTATCAATTATTTTGGAGAAAGTCGGTTGGGGTTATTGCATGTTTTTTAAGCAAAGAAATATTAAAGTTTTATCGAATAAGAGGCAAGTCACCAATAGTATTTGTGGGCCTCAGGAAAGAAGCGTTTTGACATCGCTTCTTGCAGATTTTTCTGAATAAAGCGAAATGAGCATGCAAAAGCTCTCCTATTCCCATATTTAATTTGCCGATGTAGAGCATCGGCTCGCTTTCTCTCGACGAAGGAAATACTCCACCTGTTTTAAACCAGTCAATAATCTTACCGCAAAATCTTGTTTTAGATCAGTGCCAATTAACAGAAGTGGTTGCTTTCAGGACAGAAAGGCAGACAGGGCCTTGTCGCGAAAGCTTAATCGCCAATTACAGACATGGACTCTTCTGTCGAGTCGTTCGATATGAAGAACAAACTAATCCAAAAGTGCCGCAACGCAGCCAAAAATTCAATGGTATCATATTAAC